AAAATAATTCGAAGTGGTCTGTATTCTGTCGAAACTGCCAGACGCGGATCGCGATTTCGATCTTATTGGATCTCATCAGCGCGTCGCAGGCAGCTCCGACAGAACACAGACCAACCTTTACCTGCTGTCTTAACAGCGCGTTTTAGAAAATACCGCAAATGGCTTGGTGAGCTATTACAGATGGCGCTCACCACGCCATTTGTGGTATTTTCGATTTCGAAGATTGTCAAAGGTGTATATATGGAGCGCGGCGCTGTACGGGTGCGAAACTTGGACAGTGGGCGCGATGGAAAAGAAAAGGTTAGAAGCGTTCGAAATCTGGTGTTACAGGTGAATGATGAGAATACTGTGGATAGAGAAAGTTAGAAATAAAAAGTTATTAGAAAGGATAGGAGAACAGAGGACTCAATAAAAGTCAATAGGAAATAGGCGAGATAGGTTAGCAGTACATCTTCTCAGGCATAAAGGTCTAGTCAGAATCATATTAGAGACAGAAACGAGAGTTGATTGAGGTGTGGGTTGTTCTAGTTTTAGGGAAATGCGAAGACTAGCTCAGGATATGAAAGAGTGGAGATGTGTGTCCAATCAGTCTTGGGACTGACGACTTATGATGATGATTTGTATTTCGTTCCTATATTAGATTATGGCTTATCGTACTTTAAAACGGTGTGGTNAAAAAAGTTGTAAAACCTTTGTAGCTATTTATTTAAAAAAAAGAGTTTTCTTGAGCTTTTTGTAAAAATCATCATAGCCGTCAGCTCAAATCTGGTGTGACGTTTTTATGAGCAATTTATCATAACTCGAGTTTAAAGTTTGAGCACGATCATGAACGGACTGTTCACATGGATACGTAAAATCAATGGTCAGATGTAAACTTTGATTCTAACAAACTTTCTAGTTTCAATATCTGTAGCTGACGTGCCAAAATGAGAAAGTTTCAACCTCAAAAAGAACTCTATCCAACAATAACATTGTTTTCGTTAGTTCAACAAACAAACGCCGACTTCTATTTCATCTGTTACTAACTTCAGCATATCGCATCGCATCAAATTGCGGTAATAAATAAAAAAAAAATTGAAAAGTTTTATTCATCCGCTGTGACACCTTAAAGTAACGAAACGAAATGAAACGAAAAAAAAGAGCAATCAACTTTGATTCACATTCTATTCCATAAAATGTTCGAAGGACATGAATAAAAGAGGGTTTTTATTACAGGTATGCAACATCACATGCTCGGCCTACTTTTTGTAATGTGTGTCGCGAAGCCTTGAACGGGGTCACAAGCCACGGGCTTAGTTGTGAAGTATGTAAGTTCAAAGTTCATAAGAGATGCGCCGCAAAGGCAATTAACAACTGCAAATGGACCACGCTCGCTTCTATTGGAAAAGAAAACATAATTGAAGACAGCGATGGGGTAAGTACATAATGTAGAACGTAATCGGTTTCAGACGAGCTCAGTTAGAGCACTTTTAAGACATTCTACCTGACCTAAATCACTGATAGATTATTGCTTAGTATCGCGTACATTATTGATATAACTTCTGATGTAAGTGAATGGAAAAAACATTATCTATTCATGAACATTAAGTTCGACATAAAATTTATTATTAACTACATTTGTTTGTTTTTATTAATCATCACATTTATCAGAAATTTAATATAAATAATACCTTTTTACAAAATTTAAACGAATATTAAGCAGGTGGCTATCGGGAGGCTCAAGGGGCTAAAGGGGCTGAAGTATATGTATATGAGAAAAACTTCCCGGCTACGGACCTGGCTCCTTTCTTTCTAAAAATATAAATAGTCCTGTATCCATGATTAGCACGCGCCTTTACTTTGCAAGAGTACTTAAGTTATTTCGGCAATATCCAAGCCGTTTTCTTACACTTTTCCTACATAGCGGCTTTCCCTCTACAACTTTAATCATTAAAAAGATACTTTAATAATTTTAAGTAGCACAGCTTTTTGTACCTCGCTTCTGTTATTAATTTCTGAGGCCATGGCGAATAGCAAAAGATGTTGTACACCCACACGCGTCAGGTGTTACCCTTCAACGTGGCGATATGCTAATTCATTTTAATTTATACTCACTTGTGACAGAATAAAGCTAATGTTACAATGAGCCGCATCAATATTAATGAAATCGACTTCAATTAAATTGCTAATCATGTTACATCGGCTTTGATAAATATTCATAACTGGAAGAGATAAAGCACGTCTTAGCATTTGTTTAAACCCTACCAGATGGTGCAAACAAAAGTGAATTTAAACTTTATTTGCTATGAGTATAAAAGGGTTAAATACTAAATCGATGTTGCTAATTTCAATGGAGGTTCATGATTGTGATTAAATGAAATATTAACAAATAGGTGTGATTGCCTTCCGAACGTTTGGACAGGGAGTTGGGCAGTTGTGAGGGTCGATACAGTACCTAAAAGAAGAAAAACTCTTGGGTGTTTCATTCCCACCAGCCACTAATGGTAGTGGGTGGAATGTTCCTCCGGACTACGCCGGAAAGGGTGAGAAAGATGAGACGGACGAAATGAAGACAGAAGAAAATGAACGATTATCTGTGGAATATTACTGCTCAAGTATTTACCTAAGTGATCCAAGGAAACCACAGAAAAACTTGGATCAAGACAGACGGACCCAGAATCGAACTGGTTTCCTTCCGAATGCTAACCAATGGACTAAACTTCTAAGTCACGCCGCTGGGTTGAAAGGTGTCGAACCTGGCGATACCTGCGGGCGATACAAGTCAGGGGTAGCGTGCCGAACTACGGTCGCAGTACTATTGGGTTCGGCCAACGAAAAAGGTACCTACGAAATGGAAGAGATAAGAAAAGGAAAGATTCATCTCACTGGCACTGTCAGCAGCAATGAGGAGCTCCTAGGCTGAGGAGTCAAAAGAGCCGAGTTTGCTCGTCTCTGCTTTAAAGGAAAATGCCGATACCACGAACCCGAGATGTCCTACCAGTGCCGGAGTCCAAGTAATCCGACTGGGAAGAGGATTCTGACCAGTAATGGAGACTGGTAGATATGAGGGCGGGGGCTCCAGGTGGGGGATCCTTCTGGCTGCTCAGCTGTCTGGATTTAGACTCGCACCAAAAGGATCGTAGGTTAGGTTAGGTTAGGTTATGTTATGCTAGACTAGACTAGGCTAGCATAGGTTGCGCAGGATTGACTTGGATTGGGTTGGATTGTTGTATCAACCATTTTCCCTTAACAACTTCTCGGTTGGCAACAGAATGTGCACATTATCTAAGAATAAATTTTAAAATTCTCTTTTGTACATTAGATACATACATATATGTCTCGTAAGCGACTCCCCATTTACCTATTATACTGTGAGTAAAAAAATATAAGTTACCACTCGTTCGTGTATCATGCACCGTTTCTGCANTACTGTCCCTTTGGAAAATCAAGAGGGTTACTTAATTTTTTTAATTCTTTTTCAGACCATTCTAATGCCACATCAATGGTTGGAAGGAAACTTACCGGTCGCTTCGAAATGCATAATCTGCGATAAAACTTGTGGATCAGTTTTAAGGTAATTTGAAACACAATTTAAATTTTATCATTTTCTTTTCAAACATTTCTGTTAATGTTGATGTGTTTGCTTGTATAAACTAACGATTCGACTAACGCAACACCCTGTATATTATAAAATTGTGGCCATTTAAGTCGCCCAAAATGTTAGACATAATTAGAGCTCATGACTGGCATTAATTATACCTATTTAGATTAATTTGACATCGGAATTCCTGGCAACATCTACACCAAATCGTCAATCGATGTGTGATGCCCAAAAACGACGCCACGTTATCCCTAATAGTCCGCAAGATTGTCATTTTTTCATTAACCGTAATCCTTAAAGCCAAGAACAAACGTTAGGGAATTAACTGCGGGTCATTGTCGTTTTTATTGATGAGAACCCTCCTTACGACACGTCCTTTGCCCCATTTACTTTATCGACACGCAACAAGGAAGAATTTAGATCTTAGGTAAATTGCTAGACCTAAAAGTTGTCCAAAAGATTATCACGCTATTAAAATTAACCCTTAAGGGTTGTTCGTATACTACGTCACGCTAATTTTGCTAACTTTTCATGACGCTTGCCTTATACCCTTGTCCCTTGTTTACAGCAATTCATACAGAAAGCCTTTAACGAACACTTTTATGATATATTTATTAACGATCATTTCAAAATAACAATTTTTCATCTAATTTGTTTAAACGTTTAGTAACAAAAACGTAAATGTTACCCATTGTAAGGTCTCTCGCCCCTCATGGCGTGTCATTTTATAATATGATCGACCCCTTACTTCAAAGAGTATGTAGGTATATTCATTTAAAATCAATATACATAACGATTGGAAAATTTTCTAGTAAATGTACATTACAAAGTTTTCCAATTATGATTTAGCAGCCGTAAACGTACTGGAAGATTTCAATAAGCGATAATTTTCTTTTCGCAAAGTTTTGTAATTTCTGTCTTGTTTGATTGTTGTAAATTACTTCTGTTTATTAGATATTTAATAGCAAGTTGTTGTGCTTTCGTGAATTAACTTTACACGGAATCCTTATACAGATAAAGCAAAATGTTCACCGAACATTGAAGTCTGTACTTTTTTTTTATGAAACACAAGTGTGGAATTAGTTTCTTCAACTACTTTTATCTCAAAATATCTTATGCTTTTCTGAAAAATGTCTCAAACTAAACGACCTCTCAAAATCCATTGAACAAAGCCTGTACACGAAAGTAAAATCATTTTTCTTAATATCGTTATCATAAGGTCGTTAGTCCTAAGACTGGTTGGACACGCACCTCCACTTTTTTTCTATCCTAAGCTAATCTCCGGCTTTCCCTAAAACTACAACATCCCTTTTTTCCATCCTCCTCTGTACAATTGTGGTTAAAATTTTTGACGCATGGGAACTTTAAATGCCTCGCCCCTATCCGCGCCTCTCTAGTAAGGTATGGTTAAATAAGTAGATTAATAACAAATAGTAATAATAATTTTATGTAGACACAACTTTAGGCATTAAACTAAACAGCATTTGTACTCACCCCTTTGCTAGTTAATTATTCAGATGGTATACCATTGAAAGAAATGGGAACGTTTTTATATCCCAAGTTATTAAAAGAAATCCGCGAGCTACTCGCGTATTAATATTCTCTGAATAAGCCAGCATCAATTAATCACGGCGGTTTCGTTTTTATTTTCACGTGTTTTATAGCTTTCGGGCATTGTTGCCTCAGGGAAAAAAAAAACAAGAGGAGTTATAACGATGTCCTGAAAATAAATTGTCTTCATTTAAAGAATGTATGCCTCGAGAGGCGAGAGATTTTCGTTAAAAGAATTCATTCTTTTGTTACTTTTTTTCCTGAAACATTTGAATCTTCTTCTAGCTCTAACGACCGAAACATCTGGATTGATAAAAAAAAAACAGAAAAAAGGACACACAAAATACGAAGTCGTTAAAAGTATCGGTAGTTATCTACAAACACGTTTCGGAAGTCAGGGTTGTATTGGTTTAAATTCGGTTATTGGGATCCGTCAAATGGGAGGAGCCTAGAAACATGGCGCCGATTAGGGAAAATTTATCGTAGTTCCTATAGTGTACCGTGCAATTTCCAAGTTTTTAAATTACGATAAAATGATAAGTATTGACACAATATGTAATTGGGCTGACACAAAGCCTCGGAAAGGAAATTTCGTTGAAGGTGAGCGTGTTTTTAATGCCAATCACATTATAAAATTCGGAAATAACAAATCCGGAAGCTAGCCTTCAAATTCCGTCAAGTTTACTGCCTACTTTTTACAAACTTCGGATTTAAAAAGTGATTCACGTTATATAATTGGTGAGGTGATTCTGGGTGATTTAAGCAATATCATATCAATGACTTGCACGTGCAAAGCCGATTTAAGAGAACGTTGCAAACACATTATTGCAACTTTGTTGTATTGCAGCAGGTAGGTTCTTAACCTCAAAATACTTATATCGTATCATTAGAATTGTGTTAAATCAATTACACAGGAATAAATAATTTCTCACTTTATAATTTTAGTATGATTCTAGTTTTAAATATTAAGGTTATGGCTGATGGTAAATACTTGCTGAAATATAATCATGTGCATTAAAATGACGTGAACAAATTTTTATTCCGGAATTCACTTCTTTGATACCTACTGCTTTCATCCAAGCTTCTATTAGTTTACTTTTTTCTCTAATTTTCCGAATATATTTTTTACATATATAAAACGGTTAGTTTTTATTGGAAAGTAGTTAATGTAGGTGAAGAGTGAAGATCTATGTCTGAAGTGCTATTGCAGCTTTTCACTGAACATATTAACTTTTTATTTGATTTAACTTTAGAAGAAAACTTCGTCGACTCCATCATCAAAAAAATTTTTACTTTTTTAACGTGTTTTATTATTTTAATAAACAATTTTACAATTTGCGTGCACAGTTCCTATGTAAATTTTTCCCTCATTCGAGTTATAAATTTTGCCACCAGATGGTGTATGCCCAGTTGATGGATCCCAATAGTCGCATAATCGTTTGAATCTAATAGATCATCTAGACCAGTCCGAATCATATTGTGCTTTGAAAGCTTATTTTGTTATGTTTTCCCCTAATTTTCCGAAGTTGACGAGTTTTTACGTTTGTACATCCATTATCAACTGTTGCTTTATAATTAAGGTAAAGTGCCTACCATCCAGAGCATGTATGAGAGATGGTGAAGATGTACTTAATGAGAGAACGTGTTAAATAGCAGAATATTTGCTGCAAAATGGGTTAGCAGGTCGGTTATTAATTGCAGTTAACAAGAATAGGTTGTCAAGCGTCCGAAGGAATGGTATTCTCCTCTCATACATTCATCCCTTGCAAATATTAATTACTCGGTGTGTAGCAAACTGCTGCTGACCTATTTTGTAAAGACGCAATTTAAAACTTTACGAACTCACATTTTCTTAAGTACTTACGCCGTTAATTACCCTACAGACTCATTTAGAATTAACCAACTGTAAAAATTAGTTTTACTCATTAAACTGCATTGAAACGAGCGATTTTTTTGTGTTAATTTTTAAATCGCCTGCACATTTTCATACTCTTGAGGCAAGAAATTTCAATTATTTTCTTTTTATAAAAGTGATCAATTAAATAACCGAAAATTGCGATTAATCGGACTAATTAATTAATCACTTGATGTATTTTCTAGATGAAAATTGATCAGCAATTGATAGTTAAATTTAATCATCTCCCTGCCCTATTAAATAACCCTTCATAAATGAGTATGAGGTTTAGTCTAAAAGTAAGTACTTATAGCCTCCATAGGTATTTATTTACTTAAAGGTTTCCAGTAATTTGGTAGGGAAGCGGGGACAATGGTTAAATGTACATTTTAACTAATCATGGAACCATTAAAATTTAGGTTTTTTGGAAGTTGTAGATAGAGCTTTAATATTTTGTGTTTCAAAAGGTGCTTCCAGTTATTTCCGGACTTAGAAGCACTGTAATTTAAGCCTTCTTATGAGCAAGCGGTTTCCGATTTTATAACTTCAAATTTTTGGAGCTTGTGGACAGAGTTTTAATACTTTGTGTTTCAAGTTCTTTCAACAAGCACTGCAATTGAAGTCCTCTCATGAACACATAGTTAGGGGTTGATACCTAAACGAATTACTTTATAAAAGTGTTTTGTAATCTGAATTCAAGCTGTTTCAAAATACCTGAAGCAGCTTCAAAATGCTTAGGGATTTGAATCTAATTCGCTTTTGAAGTAATTAGTAATTTGAATTCTTCGGATTTTGAAATGTAATATGACCTTCATTGACTAAAGCACTTTAATTAACGGCTTTGCCCAACTGTTCTTGTATTAAGGAATTCCTTCTCCAGGTTTTCTTAGCGTGCAAGTAATCTGGACACCATATCCTATCAAATTACTGGACTATTTTATGTGCCTTCTAATAAACTTACTATGGGCGCTAGTATTCGAATAAAATGATAGGAAATATATGGCTTTTGGACTAATTACGTACTAGCTCTAGTTTTTCATTGAAACAGACCCAAAAGGATCTACTATACCAAGTTTAATATTTTATCCAGTTTTACAGTTCCATAATTAAACATTAAATAAATAAAGAAAGATTTATAAAATTGCTTACCTTGTAACTTATCCTTTTCTATCGTATTACATTGATGGCACTAAATCTTACAAGTTCACTGTTTGACGAACACTTGCACTAAAGGATGTACCGATAAAGTGTTTAAAAAATAAATAGGTACACCACTCTGTCCTTTTTAAAATTGGAAGTCACTTTTTTCACTTCAGTTTTTAATGGTGGGATAGCTAATCAGCGATTAATTTCTTTATCAGTTTGTAGAGATTAAAATAATCAGCCAATAAGAATAAATTGTCTTTAAAATGAGCTAATGAACGATTGAAGAATCCACACTCCCGCAGGTTAACCGAAATAAATCTATCTAAAATAAACGAGCCACAATTACACAAGTAATAATTACGTCAGCTATAAGTATTTAAGA